GGAAGGAAGGATGGATGGATGAATGGATGGATGTAAGGAAGAAAGGATGGATAGATGGAAGGAAGGATAGATGGATAGATGGATGGATAGATGGAAGGAAGGAAGGATGGACGGGTGGGTGGAAGGATGGACGGGTGGGTGGAAGGAAGGACGGACGGGTGGGTGGATGAAAGGCAGGAAGGAAGGAAGGATGGGTGGACAGATAGAAAGGGATAGGTAGGAAGGACAGGTAGGGATGGATGGGAGATGAAGAAAGGTAGGAGAGGGGAGAAAAGACAAAGGGAAGACGGAGAGGAAGGAGGGGGAGACACAGAGAGATGGGGAGAGCGGGAGAGAGAGAGGAGGGAAGGAAGCAGGGAAGAAGAAAGGGAGGGAAGGAAGAAGAGGGGGTGCAGCGGGGCAAGACAGGTACAAGGAAAGCAGACACAGAGGGAAGACAGACGCGGAGAGACAGACGCATCAGATGCACAGCCCGCCAGAGCGCTGAGGCAGAGGCCCCACCGCAACCGTCCCCGCCCTGCCCGCCCTGCGCCCACCCCTGCCCCGCCAGGGCCCGTCCTCCCGAGGGCACTGCAGTCTCAGGACACATTTTATCTGCCGGTTTAATTCAGACAGGAACTGTGACACAGGCCAGGGGCTGCTCCTTAAGCCCTTGTCCCAGAAGGAAACCCAAGAGTTGGGGACCCGCCCGCCTGGGGGCGCTCACCCAGCCGTCTTCATCTGGCACCACAAGAGCAGGGCGTCCTTGGCCGAGCGCGTCTCCCTGTTGTCCTCAGTCTCAATTTTGATGACCTGAATCTGCGAAGGCACAAAACACGGCTACCAAGGCCGGCAGGGCTCGAGCCTGGGGGACCCTGACCCTTGCGCCAGGGGGAGGAGGAGGGGGAGGAGGAAGGGGAGCTTCAGGATGGCGCTGGGGCTCTCAGCCCCCAATTGTGGTGACCACCTTCCAGCCAGAGGGATCCTTCTAAGGCCGATTATGCATCGCCCCTTGATAAAACTCTGCCCCCCGCTCTGTCTCCCTAGAGCAGACAGACAAAATCCAAACCGCTCAGCACAGGTCACCTCGGCGCTGCAAAAGCCTCTGCTTTGCCTCCTGTCCCCTGCCACACTGCTCTTCCTTCTGCGCTTCCAACTCTGCCAAGCTATTCCCACCTCAGGGCCTTGGGGTCTGCTGCGCCCACTGCCAGGAACTGGAACGCTTCTCCCTTCATCTTTTTTTTTTTTTTTTTTTTTGAGACAGGGTCTTGCTGCACAGTTCAGGCTGATCTTGAACTCACTATGCAGCCCAGGCTGGCCTCGAACTCACGGCGCTCCTCCTGCACCCCTACACCTGGCCTCCCTTCACCTTTCCTGTCATTCAGCCACCAGCTCTCAGACCGTCCCTTTCTGATCACCACATGCAAAACCTCAACACCACAAACCGGACATTCATCTCCTGTTTAATGCTTTATAGTAATCTATTCTTTCCTGCAAAGGTTTTTAAAATTCCTTTTCTCATTTGACAGCAGAAAAGTTTTAAAAAATTCTTGCAACTAGAGCTGTTTCTTTTTCCATGTGACTTATCTATCTATATACTTATTTTCTGACGCCCTTATCACAACACAGTCTCTCAAAAGGAGAAAATTCATCTGTTTCTGTCCTGGAGCAATTCTGCCTGCAGGGAAATTTGGGCACCAACACCCACAGTGCATGACTTTGAGCACAGGAGCTCACCTATTGGCTTCCTCACTGGTAAAAACGGGGTAACAGGTAATATTTAATACCTAACGCATGGGCTGCTGTGGGTCTTAAATAGCAAGTGCTGAGAGTGCCTGAATCAGAGTAAACAATAGAAAAATGATGATCAAAAGAAAAGAAAAAAAATTCACTTTAAGAAAAATGATGATCATCCTGATAGGGTGATAATGACAGTTTTTTGTGGGGTATTTTTTTGTTGTTGTTTGTTTGTTTGTTTGAGACAGGGTCTCACTATGTAGTTCAGGCTAGCCTTGAGCTCACTTTGTAGTCCAGGCTGGTCTCAAACTCGCAACGATCCTCCTGCCTCAGCCTCCTGAGTGCTGGGATTACAGGCGTGTGCCACCAAGCCCGGCATAGACAGTTTTTTTAGTCATTATTTTCATCACCACTTGAATGTTTTCGGAAGGATGGAATGAGTGAATCGGTGACGGACGCCCTCCTAAGGCCCCACTGTTGCGGGGCGGGCTGGGCAGAGCTCACTTGGGGATCACCTGAAAGCGCAGGATTATGGTCCAGACCAATCCCAGCGTCAGCCGGTGATTCCCGTCCACGATGTCGTGCGATCCCACATTTTCCAGGTGGACGCGCTGCTCTTTCAGGAACTGCAGCGCCTTGTCCACGTTCTCCAGCGAGTGGATCCGCATGCGGCCGCGCGTAGGCCTCGGCTAGGGCAGCAAGGGCGTTGGGCCAGGAAACCTGGCCAAGAGCAAGGCGCCCTCGGCCCCGCCCCTCACAAGCCACGCCCCATGTCCCCGACAGCCACGCCCATTTCACTGATGCCCCACCTCCAACCTGATAGCCACACCCCCACCACTGATCCCTTCCAAAAGTTCTGCTCCTTTTCTTTTTTTTCTTTTCCTTTCCTTTTCTTTTCTTTTTTTTTTTTTTGGTTTTTCTCTGGTACCGGCAACCGAACTCACGACCTTGCACTTGCGAGGCAGGCGCTTTGCCGCTGAGCTAAACCCCCAGCCCCTCCTTTCCTTTTCTTTTCTTTTTTGTCTTTTTGAGACAGGGTCTCACTATGCAGTTCAGGCTGGCCTTGAGCTCACTTTGGAGACCAGGCTGGTCTCGACACTGCAATGATCCTCCTGCCTCAGCCTCCCAAGTACTGGGATTACAGGTGTGCGCCACCACACTGGGTCTCTTTTCTTTTCTGATGTGTTCTTTTACTTACTTTTCTTTTCTTTTCTTTTCTTTTCTTTCTTTCTTTTTTTTTCCGGTACCAGAAATTGAACTCACAACCTTGCACTTGCCAGGCAAGGCGCTGTGCCACTGAGCTAAATCCCCAGCTTTCTTTTCTTTTCTATTCTTTTCCTTACTCTTTTCTTTTCTTTTCTTTTCAGAGATTGAACCCAGGGCCTCTGCACCTCAGAGCTAGAGCCCCAGCCTTTTCTTATTTTTGAGATAGTGTATCACTAAATCGTTAAATTGCCCAGGCTAGGTTCAAATTTTCGATCCTCCTGCCTCAGCCTCCCAGACTGCTGGGGTTACAGGCATAATCTCACCACGCCAAGCTTTCTGTTCCTGTTTTATAGCAATGGCCTTGGCTACCCATAACCTAGGCCCCTTTTTCCAATAAAGCGCCCCACCCTCCAACTGAATTCCACCGCCCATCAGAGCCCCTCCCGCCCCCTCCCCGTGGACTCCAGCCCGGCCGGCGATGCCCACCCCCGCAAACCCCTTGAGACCCCAGAGCCGCCCCAGCCCCAGCCCTTCAGCCCGCTCACCAGCTGCTCCCCCGACAGCACTTCCAGGAGCCGCGTGAGCACGAAGCCATCCCGGAGGTCCGAGTAGAGATCGGCGATGTGGCAGCCCACGCGGGCGAGATGCGAGTTCACCCACTTGGTGAAAGTTTTCTTCTGCACGGCCTCCCGCTCATCTGGAAGACAGCGCCGATGAGCCCGGCTGCCAGCCTCCACCGCCCCGCAAGCCCTGGTCAGGCCCAAGGCTTGGACAGCAGCTCCCCCTCCTGGGAGGCCTCCCCCACCCTCTGCGCCTGCCTGGTGCCCTCGGCCCGTCCTTCAGTTTCCCCGAAATAATCACTTCCCCAGGAGGCTGCCCTGTTTGCCACCCTCGCTAGAGGTAGAGCGCCCACTCTGTTCCCGTACTTTACTGGCAGAACTTAGTTCCGTGGGGACACAGGCGACCCACTAGCCAAGGCCCGGCACCATGAGGGTTTAAGGAGAGGTCAGGTTTAAGGATGGGAGATGCGTTTCAGGAGTTTCACCCACTTCTGTGTGGAGAATAGCAGATCAGAGAAGGCAAGCACAACAGCCAGAAGCCCAGGGAGGAAATGAGGAAGAGACCCAGGGAGAGAGGTGTGGCTGGACCAGGGCAGAAGCTTCGGGAAGGAAGGAGAGGACATACTGGACGGGTGGAGATTAAAAGCAAGCTGGGGCCAGGGATGTAGCTCAGTGGCACAAACGCCTGCCTGGCAAGTGCAAAGTCCTGAGTTCGATTCCTGGTGCCAAAAAATTAAATAAATAAAAGCAAGCTGGTTCAAGGTGTGGGAGCCTATGCCTGCAGTCCCAGCACTCAGGAGGCTGAGGCAGGAGGATTGCTGCGATTTCAAGCCCAGGCTGGGCTACACAGTGAGAGCTTGTCTTGGAAAAAAAAAAAAAAAAAAAAATCACCCTTTTAAGGTGTAAAATTCAGTGGGTTTGATGTTGTTTGTTTTTGAACAGGATCTTACCACATACCTCAAGCTGGCTTCAAACTCCCAGCAATCCTCCTGCCTCAGCCTCCTGAGTGCTGGGACCACAGGCGTGCACCACCACACCCGGTCAGTGATTTTTAGTATATTCACAGTTGTGCAGCCATCAGAACATTTTCATTGACAAAGGGAAACAGAAACAAAAACAAAAAACCCTCCTACTCCTGAGCAGTCATTTCCCCCCAGCAACCAGGAAGCTACTTTCTGTGTCTAAGGACTAGCCCATTGTGGAGATTTCACAGACATGGAATCACACGATATATGGCCTTTTATGTGTCTGGCTTCTTTCACACAGTATAATGTTTTGAAGAGTCATCCACGTTGTCACAAGGATCAATACGCTATCGCTTCTTATAGCCAAATTACACTCCATGGTATGGAAATATGACACTTTATCTCAGCAACTAATGGGTGGTTGGGTTCTTTCCACTGTTTAGCCATGATAAATAATGCTGTTATGGGCACTGGGGAACAAGATTTTTTTGAAAACGTAAGTTTTCAGTGATCTTGGGTAAGTTCCTACAGGCCCGGCGATGCCTAAATCACCGAAAGTACCAAACTCTTTGTACATTATAATTGTTCTCTCTGTGTGCCTATTACAGCCTGTGACTCATAAATCTGGCATAGAGGAAATTATCAAAAACTACAATAGAGCCAGGTGTGGTGGCGCATGCCTGTAATCCCAGCACTCGGGAGGCTAAGGCTGGAGGATCATTGCAATGTTGAGACCAGCCTGGGCTACAAAGTGAGCTCAAGGCCAGCCTGAACTGCACAGCGAGACTCTGTCTCAGAAAGACAAAAACAAAAAACAAAAACAAAAAAAACCTACAATAGTGCAATGATAACAATGTCCTTTAGCAACAGTAATTTAAAACTTATAAATAATTATGGAATTTTTCATGTATTATTTTTGGTTTTTTTGTTTGTTTGTTTGTTTTTGTTTTTCTCCGGTACCGGGAACCGAACTCATGACCTTGCGCTTGCCAGGCAGGCGCTTTTGCCGCTGAGCTAAATCCCCAGCCCACATGTATTATTTTTGGATAACAACTGACCACAGGAAGTGAAACCTCAGAAAGTGAAACATGCCAGGTATGGTGGTACAGGCCTATAATTCCAGCACTTGGGAGGCTGAGGCAGGGGGACCATTGTGACTTCAAGGCCAGCCTGAAATGCATAGCGAGACCCTGTCTCAAAGAGGCAAAAAAAAAGTGAAACTTCAAATAAGAGGATCTATTGAATACCTAGAGGTAGAGTGCCCAGGTCATATGGTAACTCTCTCTCTCTCTCTCTCTCTCTCTCCATATGGAGAGAGAGAGAGAGAGAGAGAGAGAGAGAGAGAGAGAGAGAGAGGTTTTTTTTTTGAGACAATGTCTCCTTATGTAGTTCAGGCTAGCCTTGAACTCACTATGTAGCCCAGGCTGGATTCAAACTCATGGTGATCCTCCTGCCTCAGCCTCCCAAATGCTAGGATTACGGGTGTGCACCACCACACCTGACAGTAACTCTATATTTAAGGAACTGCCAAACTATTTTTCAAACTCAACAGCACCATTTACTTCGCCACAAGTAATGTACCAGGATTGTGATCTGTATCTTTGCCAGCTTAGTGTTTCCCTCCTTAATTGCGATCATCTTGTGGGTATGAAGTGCTATTTCATTACGGTTTGCATTTGCACTTCTAATGCAATGCACTTCTAATGGCTAATAACCCTAGTATCTTTTCATGTTATCATTCACCATTTGTACTTCTTTGGGGAAATGTCTATCCCAATCCTTTCCCCATTTTAAAATTAGTTTATTTGGCTGGGTGTGGTGGTGCACACCTGTAATCCCTGCACTCCAGAGGCTGAGGCAGGAGGATTGCCTCGAGTTTGAGGATAGCTTGGTCTACACAGTGAGTTCAAAATTAGCCTGTACTACATAGTGAGACCCTGTATCAAAAATAAATAATAAATGAAATAAAATTTATTGGTCTTTTTATCATCTGTACTATCTTTGTGACTTCCTACGAATTTATGATTAGTTCATAATTTAAGATTGTTTTTATAGGGCCAGGGATATAGCTCAGCGGCACAGCGCCTACCTGGCAAATTCGACGTTGTGAGTTTGATTCCCAAAAAAAATAAAAATAAAAAAGTTTTTTTGTTTTGTCTTGTTTTGTTTTGTTTTGAGACAGGGTCTTGCTGCATAGTTCAAGGTGGCCATGAACTCACTATGTAGCCAGGCTGGCCTCGAATTCATGGCAATCCTCCTCCTACGTTAGCCTCCCGAGTGCTAGGATTACAGGGGTGCACCACCATGCCTGGTAAAAATTGTTTTGTTTTGTTTTGTTCTATTTTCTGGTACTGGAAATCAAACTCACAACCTCGTGATTGCCAGACAGGCACTGTGCCACTGAGCTACAAATTGTTTTTAAAAAGGAGCCAGGGATGATGGTACATGCTTTAATCCTAGCTCCTTGGGGAACTGTGGCAGGAGGATTATAAATTCCAGGCCAGCCTGGGCAAATCAACAAGATCCTGTTTTTTCTTCTTCCTCTTCCTCTTGTTCTCCTCCTCTTTTTTCTTTCTTTCATTTTTGTGAGACAGAGTCTTGCTATGCAATTCAGGCTGACCTTAGCCCAGCTGGCTTGTGCCTTATAGCAGTCCTCCTGCCTCTGCCTCCCAAGTGCTGATATTGCAGGCATGTGCAATCATGCCCAGCAAGACTCTATCTTGCGAGAGAGGAGGGGGGAGAAAGGGACAGAGAGACAGAGAAAGGATGGAAGGAAGAAAGAGCGCGAGCCAGCGAGCTGAGAGTGTAATTCAGTAGCGCAGTGTCTCCTCCTCTAGAGCACAGACACTGAACTCCATCGCCCCACCCCAAACAATAGTTAAAAAAAAGAAACTGCTACCTTGCCTTTCTCTTCCTTTCCCTGACTCTCATAAACTGGAACACCAGAGCCCACAGAACACAGGATGGAAGAAACCAGGACTCCATGCTGACTTTCTTGGCGGTCTCTCTGTGACTACTGGGGCTTGTCTCGGAGCTATCCAGGCAGGAGGACCAAGGCTGCTATTTCCTTACAGCTCAGAATTGCTGGATCTATTTACTACAGCACCTCAGCAGACACAGTTACTATTGGAACTGCATCACAAATAATGCACTGGAGATTGAACACAGCATTTTGGAACTGAGCTACAGCCCAGCCCACTTATTTATTGATTTTTTTTTCTTTCTGAGACGCAGTCTTGCTATGTAGTTCAGACTGGCCTTGAACTCACTATGTAGCCCAGGCTGGCCTCAAAGGCTTCGACCCTCCTGCCTCAGCCTCCCGATTGCTGGGATTGTAGGTGTGCGCCACCGTGCCCAGCCCTTTTTTGCTTTTTATTTTGAGACGGAATCTTGCTAAATCCCCAGGCTGGGCTTGAACCTGTGATTGTCCTACCTCAAGCACCCAGGGTCCTGGGATTATAGGTGGGCACCACTATGCCTCAGTACATTTTTAAATTAGCAGGACAGGAATAAAGATGTGCATTTCCTATGTTATTCCCCTTTTCAACCATTTGAAATCTCTCAGTAATTACCTTTTTACATAAAATGCATCTTTTTGTAACACTATTAAGAACTGCACTAAAAAAAAAAAAAAAGAACTGCATTTTATAGACCAGGAATATAGCTCAGTGATACTGAACCTACCTGGCAAGCACAAGGTCCTGAGTTCAATTCCCGGTACCTCCCCAAAAAAGAATTGCATTTTACAAACAGTGAAAAACATACATTGAGACAGGTGTGATGGCGCACACCTGTAATCCCAGCACTCAGGAGGCTGAGGCAGGAGGATCATTGGGAGTTTGAGACTAGCCTGGGCTACAAAGTGAGCTCAAGGCCAGCCTGAACCGCACAGTGAGGCCCTGTCTCAAAAAAGACAAAAGAAAGAAAGAGAGCAAATGCGAGATACTGCCAGCAAATCCAAATGAAACACCTTGATTGTTTACCCGTGGGTTCTGTGCCATTTAGACAGCACAGGGGCCTGTGTGAACACATGACCATGAGTCACGCATGAGGAGGGAGGAGAGGAGGACCCGTGACTAGGGACTCGCAGCTCTGCATTCCAGCACCCAGGGCTCACGCCGAAGAGCAGACCGGGGCCAACACTGAGGTCACAGGGGGACTTCAGTGAGTCT